GGTCAGCACTTTTGAGTCGAAAAATTTCATGTCTTTCCTCGCGGTCAGCAACTGGTGACTATGCCGTTCGGTTGAGAGTTGCTGACTGGCAGTGATAAGGTATCAATACTCCTTCAGAGAGAAGAGAATGCCTCCTAGGTCGTAAGACAGGACTTGTTGTTGTAAAAACAAGGTGTCCCCAAATTAAGCTAATCAGTTTAGACCGTTGGGCACGTTCGCTGACAAAATATTATAACAAAAAAGAGCAACGAACTAAGTTGGATGGGAAATCCACTGGAATATCCGTTCAGCCAATACTCGGAGCGTTGAAATCACTCAGGATATGGCAAGTGCGGTTCACTCCACAGATCTCAGCCTCTCAAGAATGAATACATCTGGAGAACCTTGGCAGTCGACAACTCAGAGATTCCTCGGCTCAACCAGAGACATGGGGCACCTGGATATTTCCCATGCTAGGATATCGTCATTTGTGTTCGGTCTTGCGGTTCTGTGGTCTGACGCGGCTGTAGCCTGGAATATGAACCTCGGGGCAGCTTGGTTGGGAGTTATCTTGTCAGTCAAACATTTTAATCTATTCGAGAAGGGTATGAGTTCATTCGTCTTAAATCGAGGTATGCTGATTTTGCGAAATAAGTCATTATATGTCGGGTAAAGAGGTTGCAAGACCAACTGTAATTGACCATCAGGTAACTCAGTGAACCTTCACCAAATCAAGTTATACGATTTGCAGACTCTTGTCTTGGTCAAATCAACTTGTTCACATCTCTTGAATGGCTACCCCAAACTGGATTCTGCCTTCAGAATCACGCACCAACTGGAAGCACTAATATTGGACAGGAGAGTTCCGAAATAATCCTTAGGCGTTCATATCCGGATTTGGGGGACATCACTAAAGATCTAAGCGTAGGATCTGAGCCACTCTTCTTCCAAAGACGAAAGCAAGTCACAAATTAAAGGTGAATTCGCCAGAATTATTTGGTTTGGTAGCCATAGCTGGAGGAAAATTTTTACTGTCTCCTATTCGTTGGGCAACGCTTTCTTTGCATGAATAAGGGTCATTCAAGATGAGGTAAGGCGCTTCCCTTTAGGGTCCGTAGAAGGTTTTACTCGGCAAGATAGGCTGGCGGACAGGGATGAAGATACTGTGGTGCAATTATGTCACAGTTGCAGAAAACATCTTACACCACTAAAATTACCAGTAGTCCTTGAAGTGAACTTCGCTTATAGATAATTGAACCCTTCGTTGTTTACCACCCGAGAACAACTGACAGTGATAGAGATACAGACGACGAGCTGAAGAGAGATAACAGGAAACGAAGCTGCCGGTTTTGGGGACGAATCTCAGGTATAATCAGACAAGATGGAGGCTAGAAAGCATACCATAACTTGACTACGGAGGACGGTGGCTGAAACCATCTGGGTATGAATAATAGCGTCCACAGTTTCGAATCAATATACTCAGGTTGGTAAATCCAATTTATCCTCAAAGATACGGCGTTACACTCTCAAGAATTTGGAACTAGAGTCATTCATTACTTTATGCAGTGCAGCAGTCAGTGAAGCACCAGTGGCAACACTGATGTTGCTGTCTTTGATGACGATGACGACAGACAGCTTTCGAACGCGGCTAACATCCTTTCACATCGATGACGACAGACAGCTTTCGAACGCGGCTAACATAGCTCCTTTCACATTATGCCACACACCATTCACACGCTCACTCCCAGTACAGTATTAATTTACTTCGAGAGTTGTTGGGTTAGCACGGACCGATACGGCTGGGCTATGGTAGTTCACCGAAGATGATGGGTTGGCGTGCTTCTTGTTGACCGGCCTGGGGAAAAACGAACTTCCAGGCGTGCGCGCGTCGTGGCACGATCGGAATCAAGTTGTATGCACCAGAAGGAACGGCAGTCTTAACTTGTAGCTCACCACCGGTCGCTGATGGACACGTGATCAAACTGGGTCCATGGTTGGTTTACAGTTGGTGGCCGCCAGATTACACAATCCGAACGTTTATGCTGGGAGTTCGTAGTAGTCAGAGATAGTTCGTGACCAGAACACAATTGGAAATGTGCAACGAGCATCAACTTCGACTAGACCGTTCAAATGTTTCCAAAGAGCTCAGACAACTGACTTATGCATTCATATCGCAAGCAAATATCACGATGTCGATGCTTCTTGATTGACAAGTGAGCCCGGATAACTTTCGAGAGAAAATATCCTTCTCAGCGTCAGGACTGTAGTCCGTTGGGGCATAAGTCGACAACACAAACAAGCACCGCTTTTTATGCCGAGGCATTGAGCTTGGTTGAGCCGGATAACCGGACGGCGCAAAACGACTGTTCACTGTTCATTGGGATCTAATCCAGCAACCCCAGTTCAGCTCTGGGGCTGAGTGCAACTTCCACACCATATATTCCATGAGTGCTTGCTTCTGGATCAACGGACACATGGAGAAAGAAATGTGAAGGATCCGATCTCGTCCTTGGCGTTCTGAGATGTGTGTGTTTCGGAGACACAGCATACATCAATTTTAAGAGTACAATTTTCAGCGAGCAATGCCCGTTTGCCGATTTGACATAAAGTGAAAGAAGGCATCCTTCCGGTGCCTAGCTGCCATGCCCCCGAAGGGCTGGGATACTGCCAGGTTGCCCAAGCCTAGACAGGGGAAGCGAGTGGCGGAGGTCGGATTCGAACCACGGACCTTCCGGTCAGTAAATTCGCGCTCTAACCACTTGGGCCATAAAGTACGGACGTTAAAAGCTCCTATATAGAAATAATCTCGTGGATTTATAAAGGTGCTATTTTGTTTATTGTTAATAGGCAGGGAGGGAGCATAAGGCCCGTCGGTCAGATAATTTACAGCCAAATGACCTAGCGGTTTGTGTGATGGGAAGCGGTTAGGAAGTAATATCGGTGGACAGAAAACTGTGTGGGTAAGTGATGCTCCCCGGTTGCCTATGCCGAAGAAGAGGAGTTAGTTGAGTTACCTCACCTAGAGCTTTTGACTCAAAAGTCTGACCCACAAGGCAGTGGGATGTAGGGTTTTGTTCGGGGACCTTATCGCTAGCCTCTGACTCAAAAGTCTGAACATCGAGGCAGCGCTTGTAAGGGTTTTCTTGAGAGACCCTGTCTAGAGCCAATGACTCAATGGTCCGACTCACTTGGCCGCAAGAGTAAGGCATTAGTGTCTCGCTCCTAGTGCAGGTGCGCACATCAGGTGCCTTTTGAGTAACACCGGGCTCTTATTTTAAAAGTATTTCGATCGTGTTGAATAATGCGCCGGTGGTCACGGTCAACCTTTGGAGATCGGAGTGTGCGGTTTATAGGGCCGAACTTCCCTAACCGGTGCTTCCTCGAGGGAAGACATCATCGCTGCTTCCCTGAATATGGACATGCTGGTCGCCTCCACGCTCCTATCGCAGAGGACAATACGACTTTACACCCAGACTGCCTCGTAGCATGATTATTGGTAGTATGGGGTCTCCCTGCTCTTGGTTTGACTGCTCCCTTTGGCCAACCTGGTCTGGTTGCACATTGTGGAAAGAAGTTCCAGTCATTGTAGCCTGTTGGGTTCATTGCGGCACTCAAGCCCGACCACTACATCAATTTCTTCGACGGAATGTACAGACCCGAGTTTCGTTAGGCACGATATTTGAGATCCCGCAGTATACTTTCTCCACAGAACACATTGTTTATTGTTTACTTGGAGTTCTCAGCGACCAAGTGAGTGGCTTGTCAAGAGTATGTATACTTTCTCCCTCGGAAGAAGCCACCCGACCGCTAACAATGACAGTTGGTAGTAATGATATCATCAAATGTCATACACCTGCGAAGAGTAAAGTACAGACTGTCCACAGAATCAGAGCAGTTGGCCTCGACAGAAAATTAATAAGCTTCGAATCCACATTACTATAGAAACGCCAGAGTTATCCCGACAGATTTACGCTTGCAACAAGTTCCCCAGTGTACACACGAGAAATCCAATCAAAACATGCACAAAGTTTCTGTGCACCACATTCAGCCTACAGAGACAACGTGTTTTTTCCACACGACACAGAAATTTTCCGCATCCTTGATGAAACCTCATGAATCAGAGGGGAATTGACACCACCATTTGCAACAACATTTGATAAAACTGCTGCTCCACTCCCGCACAACTATGTCAATCTATGGAGACAAGGCCTGAAGGGAAAATGGAGAAGGAAAATCTGTGACGTCAAGGCAAATTAGACTCTGGAATACACCGATAGATCAATGGGGTGTAAGGCAGAGTTCCACACGGACACCGTCTTCCCGCACGTCTTTAGGCACTGCTACGGCCGGTAAGCCTCACCCGCACGAGATTGGCCAAGAATTCGGGACACTTGCCGGTCCGGCATCAAGACGAGATCTGATTGGTCAGAAATCTGGACCCAACTGTCAACCGTAACCCAGTATTAGCCAAATGCCGGTAGCCAATGGCGCATCCAGAACGCGTCAGAGCTTCCAGAAAGTTATAACCGCTTACGCTACATATACGAAGCGCTAGACAACTGTTCTTGACTTCGTTTTGGGCATCAGTAGACCTGTAGAGCTTAACGGTCCTATGGAGTCTCTAGTGAACAGAGCAAATTACTAATGTAAGCCAGATACAAAGTCACGAGGAGAAAAATCCAAGTAAATCTTGACTCACAGTTCAAAATAGGAGATTCCGTAGTTCCGTATTCCGTTGAACCACCACACCAAGAATAGTTCTATCTTCCTGGCATTCCAGATCTCCGGTGATTGAAATATATTAACCCACAAGTGTGAATATATTAGTCCAGTGTTTGCAGCTGGAATGTTTGTTCACGTTTAGTGTTAGCAGCGGTCAAATATAGCCAACCGGTGGTCACAACAAGAGTCACTCAGCAAAAGTCTCAAAGTCACGTTGGAGCCAACAAGCGGGCGGTAGCGGTTGTATTTCAGTAAACCAAACTTTTGTACAGCGATGTGACTGATAATGATGGGAAAAAAGATGATACTGAGCATGAAAAAGGGCAGTTTACGAGTGCTACAGAACTCCCCCCTAGAGCGTCAAATGGGTGAGCAAGACGCTCGAAAATGAAATGCCTCACGACAGTTAGTCTTTGAAACAAAAAGGAAGTTTGCAATGTCGACCAGATCTTGTGAGTGATGGTGTGTGTTGCCTCGGTGGTGTCACTGGTCGAAGGAGGGATCGTGTGACTGTTTGGTTGTCTAACGGAGGGGGTCGTAGTATGCTCGTCATCGGAGGTTGGTCGTGTGTGCATGTAAGCAACTTCTAGTCAATCGATGCTAACTGTGTCTTTGCGGCCGATACGATCAATGACAAAAGTTTTGTGCTTCCGAGAAATGACTCTGAAAGGCCCTTCATGTGGCGGTTGTGAGGGCCTTCTGACCGCATCGACGCGCACAAAACCATAGTCACATGTAGCAATGTCGGGATGTACATGTGTAGGCTTGCAAGTTTAACGAGTAGGTGAAGGATGGATATCACGCATGTGTTGGCGAAGCCGGGGAGCGTAGGAATTAGGGTCCGTTTCGCCAGTTGTTGCAAAGTCGACTATCATTTCACTTGGAAGGCGTAACGTAGTGCCGAAGACGAGTTCAGCGGCTATGCAGCCCAAGTCTTCTTTAACAGTACTGCGTATACTGAGAAGGAGTGAGAGGCGTTCCGACCAGTGTGTGCTAGAGGAGGCTATCAGCGATGCCTTAAGTTGTCGATGAAAGCGTTCGACCATGCCGTTGGCAGCCGGATGGTATGCAGTTGTTGGGAAGTGATCCGTACCAAGAAGCCGTTTGAGGTCATGAAAAAGTGTTGAAGTGAATTGTGGACCTCGGTCAGTGGTAATGGCAACGGGTACACCGAATGTAGCGATCCAGCTATCGACTAGCGTTCTAGCAACGTTTACGGCAGAGGTGTCGTTGATCAGAATGGCCATGGGCCAGCAGTTGAAACGGTCGACACAGTTGAGTATGTGTGTGAAACCTCTAGATGGGGGCAACGGTGCCAGCGATGAGCCACTCTGCTTCTGGGGTACAGCTTCAAGATAAAATACCAGTCC